ACTTGATGACTTTGCAATTGCATCATCCGTTCCGCTGTCATGAGAAGTACTTTTCAGTTTAGTTTTAAAGAGCTAAAAAGTGAAAAGTCATGACGCGATTAATTTTGCTTCTTGTTTCACACTGCATTATTTGTCCATCCTTTGACTCATCAGAATCGTTTTACTGATTCTACCCTATTTATAAATTATAATTTTCATCAGTAATGAACTTACCACCTCAAGAATTCATGGGGACATGCGAGAAGGTTGGACTTGATTAGAATGTTAACCCACCATTAAAATTGGTCACATAGACTTCGATATGAAATGGGTTATTGTGATTGTTGCGCTTGTTTGTTTTTACAGCTGATATCCATTAGATGCAAAAATTGCATGAATTTGCGGAATGATTTTGCTTCTTTCTTAGAACTATAGTTCTTGATTAAATACTCTGGTTTTTCTTTTTAATTTAACAAAAAATGAACTAAAATAGTAATGAGAAGAGATATGGTTAGAAGTAATGTTGGAATATCTAACCAGATATGCATTATCAATTAACCATGCTTGTATAATCACTGCGGACCAAAACGATGACGCAATGTGGCATTTATCCTTAGTGCTACCAATTATTCTTTTGAACTCACTTTTCATAATATTACGCTTTTTCACAGTCATAATTTTATATAAAATAATTTCTCACGTTGCTTGTCATCCACACATACACTCTTAATATAAATACTATTTCTGTTTTTCATTCCAAAAGAATGAGTTATCAGAGCAGCATAGAAGAAACTGTGGCAATGATCAAACTCTCTTTGCATTTATCTCATTGTTAGTGCTATAAAAAGGCATATTAAACTGACGGTTTGCTCGGTCATCAGAGACAACTATGTATGTAATCAGGGATAATCTATGATTAGTATGTTTACCATAATAATGATGAGCGTCATAAAACTGATGATGAGAAGTCGGCTCAATTGAATAATATTGTTTCAAGTGTTATTGTCAACAATATTGCTTGATAGCAACTCCTGTTGATATCATGTAAATTGTAGAACTGATTCATTATACATACCATAAGTCAATTAATTAATCATAAATGATGATTGGTGAGCAAGAATTAGTAGTAAGCAACACTAATAGATGATTTTAATTTCATTTTATACTGATTTTTTTTTTTGCATTCTTTTCTGTTACACTCTCTTGTATCATTTTATTATAATTGTTTGCTCGTTTCTTTAAATTCACTAATATCAATATTTAAATTTGGATAGAATAACGAATACTTAAGCATTTGTCAGTAATTAATTATTAAATAATGTTTCTATAAATAGAGACAACGAAATATTAGTATAGTTGATCGATATTGTTTTTTTATGCTTCTTTCTCTCACTCAATGCTTTTTTTTGGGATGAAGTTGTTGTCGAAGCAAATTTCTGAGTCTTGTATTGTTGTTGATCTCTAAATGACAGTCTTTAGTGTGGCACCACTAAGGATTTAAAAAAAGAATGCTGAACTTTTGTGATTAAAAGTGAAATGAGTTGCATCAATTAACTTATTGAATTGTAAAATGAACGAAGCATAAAAAATACTACCGCCGCTTATTACTACAATTATTGTTATTGCTTCTGCAATAATTGTTATTGTTATTGTTATCGTAATTTCATAAACATTAAACATGCAGAAGTGATTTTTACTCGCCAGCTAGCATTAACATCTATCTTCGTAGAGAAAAGGAAGGAACAAGCTTGTGGTGCCAGGAGGTGTTTGTTTGAGCAATGCTTATTTCTAAACATAATAAATGCGATAAAAAATTGTCTGAGTAGTACTATTACAATGTTTTTCTTTTCGTCTTTTTCTCTTCGCTTTTCATACTTTTCTTGACCCTTCAATGATCCCTTTCATTAATTTCATTCTCATCCTGACCATTCTCATATTGTTTGTTTCTTATCCTATTTACCATTTGTTATTCTTCAAATTTTTTATATATTCTATTCTATATTGCTTAGCCCATAATCATTTGTAGAATTTTTTCCATTTTTCCTTTTTCTTTTTTTTTCTTTTTTTTTTTGGTGCTTACTTGTGGCCAACAAAATAAACAAATATGATAAAATAAATATACGCATACAACATGGCTTGTTATTGTTAGATGAAAATTGACCAATTCTCGCATTCAACCAACCATTCTTCATCTATTCAACAATACAATTTGAAAGGCATAACGAGCGGTGGTTTGCCTCAAAATCACCTCTTTCACGTTTTTTTTTTTAATTCGTATTTTGTTACAAAATTTTTAGTTGTTATTATTTTGTTCTTTAAGTTCATTAAAAATTTATTATTTGTAAATTCGACTATCCAAACTCTGATCTTTTGCTCGAAAGAAATTGGAAACTATTTAGCCTAAAGTATATTTGTATGTAAGAATGCAAACGAAAAAGGTCATTAAAAGTTAGTTCGCTAACTAATTAATCAGCAAAAAAAGCAAATGCAAAAAGATAATAATTGTAATAAACTTTCACGCTGTAAGATTTTTATGAGCTAAATTAGTCAACTTTGCCACTTAAATGTCCAAGTAAAAGTAACTAATTGTTTGTCTATGTATAGTATTAATGAATAATTGGATGAAATTATTGAATGAATATATATTTAAATGATTTGTTTACCACTTGTTTTCTTTCCATTAAAGTTAATCAACAATTTACATTAGCAAGAAAGGAATATAATATAAGTGTGTGCTATGAAAACTCACCTTTGCTCTATGACTTTAAATTATGCAAAATAATGTTCCACTCTCTTACTGCTTCTTCATTGCTGCTCTATCTATCATTCATTTCTGATATCACTCTGATTTCACTTCCAGTCTGCCTTACTGTTGGAACCGGTCGTAATTCATTTCCGTTTTCACTTCCCAACGTTTAGGGTGAGTTTTTTCGAACTTGGCAAACGATTTTAATTCGGCTTTGCGAATGCTAATTTGCTCACACCTATTAACACATGATAGCAATAAGCGTACAATCAGTTCATCTCAAATAGTGTGCTGGTAGTTTTAATTAATCAGTCGGATTATTGTAGGCATTTATGAAAGCTGTTTTGAATAGAAATATTGAACATATATTTCGACCTTTCTCGATATCCTTTGCTTGTTGACTCACTTACTTCTTCGGAAGAGAAGATGCTTATTTCAGATTGAATGTATTATGATGTTCTACTATTCATATTCTATTACTGATCACAAGTTTTCAATTCGTTGAAATAAACTTTAGCATTACAAATTTTGTCAAGTTTGTTCTCTTCAATATAATAGTACTTTACTCTTTTACTACACTATAGCTATTCCGTACATCTAAGTATCTGTTTGTTATCATAAAGCTGTTTTATTCCTTGAATATTTTCTTAAATTTTACTATCACTGTTTTTATTTAACATTATTAATATATTACAATAGCTTGCTATTCCAAATCTAAGTGTTTAATTTCAATATATATTTCATTTTACGCTTCACTCTAATAACTGTCAAAAATAGTTTTGTGACTTGATTTATATCCCGCCTCTTTTTGCCATTCTATTCTTTTGAATCATTGTCATAGGTTATTCACAATTTGCACAGCTTTTTGCTAAATTTTAATTACTCTTTCAACTACTGCTATGTTATTGTGCTGTACTTAAAAAAGTTGAACTCTGATTTCTGTCTATCTCTGAATTTTTCCCATTGATCAGTTCCATAAAAGAATAAGTTTAAATTATATTCTTCGTCATATTTTCACCGCATTATGCTTCAGAACCTTATATTGTTGACGTTTATTTTTTTAATGTTTAAGTTTTTCAAGATCGTACTTAGAAATAGAAATTATATACTCATTCTGTGTGGTCATGCGGAAATTACGTTGAAGTTATACGCACAATTAGTGTGAATAGGATAGTGTTGCATGTTTGAGAAATGAATGGACAGCGTGTGATATTTTATTTGATTAGCCGCCTTAACTTTGTTTTGCATAAGTTGGCACGTAATTATTAAGAAAAAAGGCAAAGTACATTAAGGTGAAAAAGTCGGTAAAGAGTTGGTATAAATTGAACAGATTTAGAAAAGCTTTCACATTTCTGCTACAACTTTACAAGAATAGATGAGTATGAACACTGCAATGCTTGTGCCATTGTATGTTTCAGATTTTCTTTAGCAATAAAACCAAAAAACACAGGTCAAAACTGACTATTTCCGATGTTTACGTTTATTAACACTCAGCAAACAAATACATTTTGCTTGTTATCAAATAATGAACTTTAAGTTTTTATAATCCATTTTGATTATTTATTTAAACATAACCTTGCATAACCCAGACTTGAAGACGCAAACTTACATGATGAAATGCTCAATTTATTGTATATTATCGTATGAGGTAGCGTGTTAAACTTTGCCAGATGAATTTTGTTAGCTTCAAAGAGCAACGTGTCATGAAGCAATTCGTTAATTATCTTTTTCATTCAGTCAAAGTTTACGAATCACTATTCTGCTATTATTCCTCTACTGTTTTTCATTGCACTTTTTAATATAGAGTCACTTTTTTCTCTTTAATTAAATTTCAATTTACATCCTTCTATCTTTGTATAAGCTTGGCTTTCTCTTTCTCGTCAAGTTTATCTTCTATCTTTAATTTATGTGTTGTTTTGCACATAAATCTTGCACTATTCGTGTGCAGTTAATTTGAGTTTCAAATATTTCTACATAACCTTCTGAGAATAAATTTGAAATGTCATCAGCAATCCTGATAGACTTCAGTTTCTGCATTTTTTTTTGTTACATTACACAGGCAGACATTGTACATTATCGTAGAAAGTTTTAAAAAATTGCATAAAAGATGTTGCTAATTTTTTAGAAACATTGATTCATGCATAGTTGAAGCATTGCAGTTTTTATTTTCTCTGATGAATCTGATTCTGATTTGTCATTTCTACATCGCCGATAAACGATTCATCTAAAGAGATACCTTCAACTATAGCAACTTATTACGAACACACGGTTGACTATGACTACTACATTTTTCACAATACACAGTGAAAATGCTCATACAAGCACTGAATTATCTTCATCTTCTCAAATAACACCACCAGCCGTACCAAATAATAATCAGATCGAAAAGCGACATGTATGTGGAGAATGTGGAAAGGTATAGTTTCCATCACTTTTTTAATGTTAGTTCATGTCAGCTTAAAAAACTTAAAGGACTGTACTTTTCATAAATCAGTCACTTTTATCACAAAGATCTATTATATGGAAATGTCATGAACTGTATTGAATGAAGTAAATACAATATATTATTATGAACTTTTGTTTTTCTTTATGAAATAAGAAACTCAGAGTTTTTGTTTATGAAGATTTATATAAAGATCAGAATAAATTTGGTATTTCCCAGAAATCTCCTAATTTCATGTTCAATGTTTCTGTAAATGCTATTTCTTGCGATATCTTTCACAGTACCTATTTTGTATTTATGGGGCGTTAACTGTGTAAATAAAAATAGTATTGACATAATATGTGTTTGATATCTTAGGCTTTTCCATATTTGTCCATTTTGGAATCTCATAAACGCTGTCACACCGGTGAAAAGCCATTTGATTGCCATTTCTGCGACAAGAAGTTCGCACAAAAAGCAACCTTACAAGTGCACGAACGAACTCACACTGGCGAAAGACCGTTAGCTTTTGTTCATTATAAATTCGTTTTTTTCTGTTCATCACAGTAGTAAATCAAATAAATGAAGAAAAATTTGTGAAAATTTTTATTAATATTGCCATAAGTGATCATGGAAGATACCATGCTTCGAAGTGTGAATTTTTTGCTTCTTCTGAAATATTCAGTCACTAATCGTGCTGAATTAATTAATTTAAAATGTTGAAGAGATTGATGAAGCTATTATTTGATTATTAAATACAAAGAAACAGTTATTTTTTTGTAGTTACAAGTGTAAATACTGTGATAAAACATTTGCACAATATGGTACAAAGACTGTTCACGAGAAAAGTGCACATTTGGGTATGTTTCTGTTGATACAGAAATATAAGTTGTTAATATTCATACTATGGATTGCTTTTCTCTGATTTTCATTTTTATCATCAATTCAGATAGTCTTTTATTGTAGTAAATATTTGTTAATCCAATTTTATGAAAAAAATTTAAAGACAAAGTTAAAAAAATTATATGCTTTATCAGGTGTAACCATTTTGTTTTGAACTTCTGCATTCTAATAAACGTCAGCATTTTCTTAGGCATACGAAACTACAGATGTCCAAAATGTAACAAATGTTTATCGTCTCCTTCAGCATTATATACGCATAAAAAAACTCATGGCGAAAAAACATTGCAGTGCGATTATTGTCCTAAAACGTTTACGTTAAAAAATTACCTAAAATTACATGTAAAACAAGTGCATCAACAATCTGATCGTAAACATATTTGCATTTACTGTAATAAAAGTTTCGCTTATGCAGGCAGTTTGCAGGTTTCAATTTTTATAATTACTTTATGAAAATATTGTCATTACCATTATTTATTTTTTGAAAAAGTAGTAATGATAGAAAAGTTTGAATATCAGTGTCTTCAAAATTATTTTTAGCAATTTATAGAGATAAAAGAGATGTTTACAGGTACACATACGGACGCATACCGGTGAACGACCTTATGTATGCAGGTTTTGTCCCAAAGCATTTGCTAGTCAAGGTAATCTACAGAGTCATGAAAGAACTCATACCGGTGAACGACCATATACTTGTATACAATGTGGGCGATCTTTCATTCAGAAATCACAATTAACTGCTCATGAAGGAACACATCAGTACCAACCAGGCGTTCGTTTATTTTACTAAGGAGCAAGTTATCAAAATAAAAACAGTATTCATTTATGAAGTGCTCATAGTTTAACTGTAAACTTTAAATTTGATTATAATCTTTGTTTTTAGACATCTATTAACTGATTTTTGGGATCGCTTACTTTTATATAATTCATTTTGTCCACTGATGCATTATTAGTCATATTTAAATTTAATTGTGTCTTAAGCAAGAAATGTGCTAATAACTAATTATTGACTGCATTCAAATTTTTACTGATAATTTCATGAAATTTTCAGACATCACCTGAATCAATGCAAAGCAAAAAACCAACAGAATATGTGTGCAAATATTGCGGTAAACGATACGCTTATGCATCATCGCTCTATGTTCATAATCGGTTACATACTGGTGAAAGGCCTTTCCGGTAAATGCTTTTTAGTTTTGTTTTACGTTATAGAATTATTTTGCCTTCATTTTGTTGTTTAGTCTCTGAATCACATATCACTTTTTTTTTTCTACGATACTTTTGAATTTGGCAGCAGGGCAAAGTCATTGAGTGCTTTCTTCGATAATATATTTACTAAGTGTTGATTATGACTTATAATACAAAAATTCATGATTTTCGAATGCAGTGAACTGATCTCATAAGAAAAATATTAGCTACATCAGGAGCCTTTTTGCATCTACATTCTGTTCTTTTTTTGTTTTAAGCTTTCAGAAGTTCTTGATATATTAAGGTTACATATATTATAATAACTTTGTTTTTAACGAGTTGTTTTCTTTAGTCATCAAAGAAAGTTCACCTGAATGATTCGTTGCTCAATTTTTATGTTTTTAATCTTTTTTCTTCTGGCCTCTGCTAAAGGTAAAGCACCTGAAATAATACATGGCAACATAGAATTTTAATGACGAAGCTTCGAAGCTTTCGTTCGAAAAGTCTTAAAAAACGCTGATTTCTATTCTCGATAGATATTTTGTGTCTGCTCGTGACAGTTTTATATTTTTCGTACCAGGCATTGCTTTGTACCCTATTCAGCAAATCAGCATAAAAGTACACGAGAATTTTTCTTGCTTTTTTAAAAAAAATAAAAAAAAGCAAAATTATTTTTTGTCTTGCATATTTTGCAAATATTTGAAAAAAAAAGCGTCCTAAAAAATCAGTTTAGTAAACAAATAATTTTTAGGGATTTAATTATTATTTGTATGATTTTCGTGTAAAAGAAAGTTGGTAATAGAATTTTTTGAAGTTTCACTTTTATTATTTTCTGCAGGTGTAGTTTTTGCGACAAATCATTCACAAATCAAGGCAATATGCAAGTACATCAGCGTGTACACACTGGAGAAAAACCGTAGGTTACATCATGTTTAGCGATGTTTTTTCATCTATGTGCTTTCAAACAGCGCAAATAGTTATCTCGTTCGTGATCAAATTTAAAACTTTATTTAACAGATATTATAATGAAAATAACTCATAATAAATGTTGAAAATTGATTCTACTTTTTCATATTCTACGTTTTTTAATGACATTTTTAGGTACAAATGTAATGCATGTGAAAAAAGTTATGCTCAAAAGGTGGGTTTAAAAATCCATTTGGAACAGTGTCAGCACCAACAAACAAGTCCAAACGCTGACCTGGATAACCCGAAAACAATAGACAATCTTTTACCCAAATATTTAAGTGAGTTATCAGCTTTTATAACTGTCCTAATGTGTTCTCGTCAATATTCAAAAAGAAACACGTTAATTTTTGCAATAAAAAATAATTATGTATCATAAATAATTTTTGAATCAAGGGAATGAAGTATTGTTAATTTGAGTATTTAAAAAAAAAAATTTATTCTAGACTATTAGACTGAATTGTACTGTAACAATTTTCTTACTTAGAAAACAAAAAATAATCTAGATTTTTTCGAAATTATGAACTGATATATATAGATTTACCAGATGGAATAACAATAGCAGCGCTTCAATATCCGCCATCACCAGTCGTATCTTCAGTTCGAGATTTGACGAGCCCATCGTTAAGCTTGAGATTACCAGCAATTAGCAACCATATTTCTCATAATCCATCTTTGCCGGATTCAAATGACACAACTGCTAATCGAATGGTTCTAAATGATTTTATTTCCATTACCTCTAATGAACCAATCACAGCCCAAGCAAATGAAAATATTGAAAGCAAGCACTCAGCATTCCATGGAGTAATTCGGGATCCATACAAAAATCCTTCAATAGAACCTAATGATTCTCAGTTATATGTGTATAAGCATCTTTTGGAAGGTAGTAATTCCACTGGTTCACTATTTTCACCGCAAATGATACTTCAAAGTCAGCAGTTGCAACTTCTTCTACAATGTTCTGAACAATGGTGTAATGTTTTGAATCAGCCTATCTCTGCATACCCACCTATACCAACGTTAACAAATTTGAATTCAGGCTCTCAGCAACCTTTTATAAATCATGCCTCTACTGTTGACATATCTAACGATTTTTTATCTGATTCTGTTAAGCATGAACCAGCAATGTATGTATAATTCATTTAAATTTAAGATTTAGCCAAATTTTCACTAACAAAAAAAGCCATGCAAAATAAAATAAATTATTTTATCTAAATATTGCATCCAATTACAATTACAATCAGTTTTGTCTCTCCGTTGATACCAAATTTTTACCATTTAGCAAAAGTATGGTAATGCATTTGTTTTTCTTCTTTTATTAAACTTTTATGTTGCTTACTAAAAATGACGAATTCCAGGGTAATTATTAATCGCATGTTTTTGACGTGATTAGCTTCTTTATTTGAAAATGAAAAGGAAGCAGGGAGAGCTTTAGATGATTGATAGAAGTTCAATGATATTATTAATTACATTTTTTTAATCTTGAAATACATGTCATAATAAAATTAATAACTGTTCACCCTACTTTCATTTTGTAATAGATTTTATCCCTTAATTCTTGCATGAACTTTTTATCCATCTCCATATTCTGATAATTAACTATATGATAGTGCTGTTTTATGATGTAGATAGAAGGTGCCTAAGGCTCGTCAATATTTTGCTGGATGATTATACGGTTCTCATGAAGATTTTTTCAATAAAATATCATGCTGTTTTGCCTTTTTTATTCATTCTAGTCTGTATAATTTGGTACTTATTCTGTTCTTTCTTATATAAAACTATGAATTGAATTCGGTCATTCAGTAAATGATGTGTTAAATTTTTTGATGAATGCTAAGAGACCGGTCAGTGATGAATTTGTTTTATACGATAGATGCATATATTTATTTATTTTATTGTAATTTATATTCCAAAAATAAAAAAAATTTTTTGTAGAGTATGCAAAATATTTTTTACTACAAAAATGTTTCGTTTAATGCTAATTTGGCACTAAATGATCATAAAATAACTACAATTGCCTTTCGTATTATTTTTTGAATGTTTTTTCTTTGAGATAGTTATAACGGTTTTCGTTTTTTTTCATTGTCAGTGTTGTACGTTCAATTCCGATTCGTGTCTTTTGTCGAATATAATTATGATGAAGAGTAATCAGTTTTCTGGTTATATTACTTACTTTCATTTTTAATTGTTTTTCGTTTTTTTCTCAAGCATCTCATCAATAACTTGTCTTTCCAATTTTCTAATTCATAGTAAGTTTATTTGAAGGCGAAAAAAAATTTTTTAATCATTTTTCTGTCATTCTATCTACAACAATTTTTTAATCTTTCCTTTTAAAGCCATTTATGAAAATTGCTACATCTGTTACAGATGCTCATAACAAATTGATGCTATAATAGGTCATTTTATGCAGATTTATTTTGTTATTAAAACAATGCATTTAAGTATTTATGTTTGGTTATTTTCTATGATATTTGTTAAGAGTGGTTAATCTCTTAATGTTTTTTCTTTTTGCGCTGAAATAAATAATTTTTCATAACAATAAACAAGACAGGTCAATTGGCATACTGTATGAGCTTGATTTTAATTTTTCTAAGATATTAAAATTAGATTTGAAGCAAATTAAATATCAAACATGGAAGGTCACTAATCATCTCAGATCTCTTACTTTGTGCAAAGTTTTGCAATATTATTCTTCTACAGAAGGAGTGGATGATTATAAGTTTGAATGCAGTGACTAAGAAACCAGGTCACACTTCCTTATACTTTTTTCTAACCATTCATAGCTCCACTTATATGACATAATGTGACATACTCCAGCATTTTGCCACCATTACTAAAATTATATTTGGAAGGTGGAAACTAGATCTTTTTACTTTGCATGGATCTGTCTAATCTTATTGTGCTTCTTTCATTGTACCCTCTTCAAATTCTTGGTACGTAATGTGTAAAAATTTTTTTCTTTCATTAAACTTGTTACATCACCAAGTGCTATCATGTAATACCTTTATTATGCATAACAAAGTAGCTTACAAGCGTAAGTAATACATTTCTGTCTTTCGTGTCATCAATTTTATTAGTTCGATTAATTTTATTTGTGTTATCTATATAATCTATTGATATACTAACATATTTTGTAAATGTATTTCAAAGAAATTGAAGTATGGTTTTGTATCTATTATTTTTCAGAAAACTAAAATAAGTTACTAATTCCATATATAGGTTTGAAGTGTGCATTACCAAGTAGAACAATCTACGTTCGAAATGAAGGTTACTACTACGAATCTAATGGAATGGAAACTGTAATGAAGGAAGTAACGCTTTCAGAGTGTGCTAGTCATTGCACGTCTAGAACAAAAGTGCGTACTCTGTTCTTTAGTTAATTATTATCTAGAATTTAGATTCAGTAATTTGATTAGCTTAAAGTTAACGTAGCATCATGAAGCAAATTGGAAATCATTTGAAACTTCGAATTTCACAAATGAAATTAAAACTAAAGTCAATAATTTGACTGTTATTTACTTGATAACATATGGTTGTAAGCAAAAGTTGCGTTGTAGAAAATTGAGAGTTATTTTTAATTATAAGTTAATTGGCATGAAAATAAAATTTCTTATATATTTTGTTGATATAAATAATTATCATCTTCTAACTTTATTTTAGGAAGGAAATTGCACCTTATTTGAATATGATGCCATGCTATTAAGGTGCGTGTTAAAAAACGGTACAGATGATGTGATGGATGATAGTAAAATGCATAGAAAATTTGATCATAACATTGCATTGTTCCAGCAGCTTTGTCTTCCTGGTTAAGTATTATATAATAAAAATGTTATAATGATATAGTAGTAATAGTTTCTTTGAAAATTTTTTTTTGTTCATTTTCAAAAAGTTATTCCTCATAATATATCTTTGTGGTGTAGTCAATGATCTATTTTATTTAATTTATGTGTAGCTCAAAGCAGAATTAATCAGAATGAATTATTAGTTACTACCTGTTGCAAAATAATTCAGTATGAAAGACAATTTTAGAAGAAAAATAAGCATTGTTATGTCGAAAGCAATGTGTATATTGCAAAAATAAGTTGGAAATAATGAAAAAAATAGTTTTTTTTCAGATGAGCAAATATGTCCCTCGCCATATGCTTTCGAACGTTTTCCGGGTTTTATATTATTAGGAATTGCAAAAGAAGTTATTTATTTTTTCTGTTCACATATATGAGAAGAACAAATTAGACTTATATTTTGCTCGAATTGTAAAAGAATATTATTTTAGAAAATTACTTAACGAAATAAAATGTAATCCAAAAAGGGCTCGAAATTTATGAAAAATATCACTCTAGTCGTGCCTTTTATAGTTATATCATTTTGCTAACCCTTACTGTTATTTATAATTCTTATAATTTTAATCAATATTCATTCATTCATTTATTCAATTCAGATCTTTACAGGTAATTAAATATGCATCGTTGGAGGAATGCTTAAATATTTGTTTATCTGTCAAAACAAGAACGGAAATGGAATGCAGGTTAATAACAAAATGTATTAGAACTTAGAACCGTTAACTTCACTTTTCATCAATTTCCAATCATTTATTTCTCATTAGTTACAAAATAAACATCAGTTAGAGGATTTTCATAAATTATTTTATTTTTAGATCAGTGATGAGTACTAAAAGCTTTTAAATCTAGTCGATTTTTTCACTGAAGATATTGAAGTCAATAGATGCAATTTATTTCTGAGGTAGAAAGTACTCTCCAAAACTTAATATTGCACATATTCACTCAAAATTGCAGAAGTTATATTGGTTTTAGGTTAACTTAAGCTCACTCAGGTCATTTATCGGATTTTTGAATTACATTATCAGTTTTATAGGTCAGTGATGTATTATTATGATACTGGCGAATGTATTCTTAACAGTGATAATCAAGTAACAAGTGGAACCATGCTAACCAATAATACTTCAAATATGCGAGTTGACTATTTTGAAAATTACTGCTTAGATGGTAACTTTTCCACATTTGTTTGAAAGTGAACTTATAAATATACGAATTTCAATACCAAAGAAAAAAATATCAAAATATGCTCATTTCTAACATACTCCTTGTAAAACAACTTATTATATTCTTGGAAACGTAGTTCTAAATTTGTATGCATGCATTACTGCAGTTTATCCTCCTTGCTCTACAAATTTTTCTGAATACAATTCAATATGCTATAATCTTATACTATCTTTAAGCATCGATTTCTATTATTTTGGAATTATACTTAATTCAGTATTTCTCCCATAACTTTTAGAAAAATGATTATTAAATATGTATGCATGCATGACTACTTACATTATATAGAGTAAAATGTGAAGCGAACCTTTTTAACTAAAGTCAAATAATCTAGCACAATTACAAGTAGTCTAAATAATAAAACAAGATTATGAGAACGTATTCACAAAAATCTAAAGTAAATATTCATTTTATTACTTCATAGACTTTCATTGCTTCATAAATGATTTCCTTTTATACATTACTCCAAACTAAAATACCTATTCCATTTACTTGTTATGCAGTTAGAAAGCTATTCAAGTAAGCAAAAACAAAACTGCATTTTATCTGAAAACTTGAATTAATAATTCATTAATCGTCATTTGACATATATTATGTGTTAGTTCTGCAGAATATTTCAGCATTTCTCTGAATTTATTGCATAATATGAAGCAATTAAAAAATATAAAAGTATTCATCTATTTCAGTAAAGTGTCCCAGTAGTTCTACCATGCACTGGATCAAAGTGAGTGGATTTAAAATAAATGATAAGCATAATATTTTAATGGAGCATGTAACAAAGGAGGAGTGCTGCAATTATTGCCGCGTATGATTTATTATTTGAAAAAAAAAAAAGATTTTGACATGTCTTTGTTTCAGTTTCTTTTATTTGCCTCAGAAGTAATAATGAAGAACAAATATAATATTGAAATAAAAAATATGAAGCTCTTTTTCTGATAATTTGACTCAAAATTATATCATTTAGAAAAATGAAGTTGATGGACAAATTTTTCCATGCAAGTTATATGCATACAATGAAGATAGAATGACATGTTATTTGACTTCAAAATCTGGTTTAGCAAATTTACCAATGTCTTTGCCGGATGACGAACTCATTGATAATTTGAAAAAATATGAATACTACGAAAAAATTTGTCTACAAGGTCATAAAAACACTAAGATTTTTATGTAAACGAAAAGTTTTCAATCTTAATTCATTTTTCAATTTAATTACATATTTTTCTTCTTCTTTCTTTTAAATTTAAGTAAAGAAGTTAAAATTGAGCTTTTTGATTTTTTATTCTAGAATTTCTGTCGATAAGTAATAATTTGATTTCGTTTGTTTAGGTTCTACACGATGTCAAGATAGTAGCTTTGAACATACTTCAAATCACGCTTTATTAACTGAAGCTAATAAGGTCCCTTAAATATTGTGCATTTGTAGAAATATGTTTTTCGGATTAATTTTTGTTTAGTACTAAGCTTTAACTAATCACTTTTTTAAAATTTATTACAGGTGATAATAACCACGAGTGTTGCAAACTGCTTAGATATATGCTTACGTTCTGGAAAGCAGTGCAGTTCAGTGATGTTTTTTCACAGCAAGGTTGAAAATTAATATGAATTGTATGAAGTAATATGTACAAAATTAATATGTCAAGGGAATTCATACAAGTAAATGTAATTTGAATAAATTGGCTAAAATAAATGAAAAGTAAATTTTAAATAATAACTTCTAGACTGATATTTTCAGGATGAGTGTGTACTGAATACGATATCACAGGATTCAAACGCTCAACAACTCCAATATTACCCGGAGGTTTCAAATTTTAACTTTGCATTGAAATTACTTAATCATCCTTACGAATTAATTAAGTGTAATGTTATTTGAGTTGTTTATTATATTCTAAACTATTTTCTCCAACAATCATTCAAAATTAGTTTGTAAGATTGAAAGTAAATCTAATATTTCTAAATAAATTAGCTGTAGTAAACAAGAGTACTATTCAATGAATGCAAATAAATGTGCAAGAACAGAAATCAGAAAGTTTGCATGAAATAATTATGTCAAATACGATGAAAGATAAGGATAAATAATTGCAGGTAGATTACTTTGACAATGTATGCGACTATAAAATCAATATGAACTTGTCATTGAAAAGTACTGTCAGTGAATTCTCATCAAGCATACATTCGAAATTGAATGGTACAAGTGGTGCACAAATAGTAGAAACTCAGGCATTATATCTTTCATTGAATCAGAATTTATTTGGGAATAGTGAACACGAAGGATTACTCTTAAATAACTCAAATTTGAAATCAATGCTTGAAAGTTAGACCTTCTGCTTCTCTTCTCTTTATGTAAATATTCTTTGAAAAAATGAACCAAAATGAGACAAAGTTCAAAAAATAAAGTCTGATAGATTTAATATAAATACATTCCTAATTAATATTTGATATTAATACAATGTACAAATGTTTAGCTTTGGAAACAGATTGTGGTGCAGAGAGCATTGTTATTAATATGCAGTTCGATAAACCTACTAATGGTGCAATCTTTATCAAAGATCATTTTGCAACATGTCATTTCGAATATGTTAACAGTTTATATGCAAGAATGAAAATAGCATTGGTCACTCTTCATCAGGACAATCCACCTTGTCCTGGCTATGAAATTGTTTGTTTAATTTATTTCAGAATCCTCATATTTCTCCCTTGCAACTTGCATTAATCAAAAAAGTAATTAATGAATTGCAATAATATTTAAATTAATGAAAATAGAGTAGTGTATTATATTAATCAAAATTATTTGAGTACAATGCTATCTATCTTTCATTTATCAGAATCCTTCGATATGGTCGTTCATAGTTGTGGTACAAAAGAATGATTTGGGTGTTCCAGCACTGATGACTGATACCGATCGAATTTTCAATATTTCTTGCGATTATTCAAATATTCATATAGCAGGAAGTTCAGAACATGATAAAATGTATGTTGATTTTCAGTAACTAAAATATAGGATTTTACAAGTTTCTATTTTGATACTAGTTAAAATTTCATTATGCTTACTTATCTTAACAAATTCGTGCGAGAAACTAATTTAATTCATTTGTAAATAAAACTGCGTCAAATAATAGATTTTTTTTTTCCAAAAGAAAGAGTATCAAACATACAATTTTAAATAATTTTAAATATTGGCTGAGTTAAAGAGGAAATTTTTTTATGATTATAATATTATCTGAAGGTTATTTTAACGATTTTTTATTATAGGTTGTCAAGTGACTCATCACGAGATTGGTCATCATCGCTTGCTTCTACTGATCAAGTACAGTTAACGGTACTACGTGGAGATCAACCCGTGAGCACCGCTGTAATGGGTGAGGAATTGGAAATAAAATGGACTATAATGCAGGACAACGAGAATGACGTGGAAATGTTTGTAAATCGTTGTATAGCCGAACGTTTGGATGGAATACCGCCTTTACCTCCTTCACTTACACTTATTTCTAATGGGCATGCTCTTCTATTATTAATAAATAATTTGTCATTTAATTATGAATATGCATATATCTTCAAATATTTGGTAAACTACCTAATCTCTTACATTTTTCAAAATCTTTTTCAAAATGGAATGTATGAATGAAGTTAACACATAATTACATAATACAAACACTTTTAGATGTATTGAAAATAAAGTAAGAAAATCGTTAATGCAGCATCCAATTGTACATGATGATAGTGGCTTGAGCACCAAAATTAAGGTTTTTCGATTTGATGGATCACACCGTGTACGAATTTTATGCTCCGTAGATATTTGCGCAGAAAATTGTTCACCCGTATGTTTATTGCAACTTTTTACAAGACAAATATGAAGATTAACTGTTAAAAAATTGCTTTTGAAGTACTATTTTGAAAGCAATTTTTAACAATTTTTTCTTCATCGTGAATGATGCAAATTTAATGGAGATAAATTTCTGCAATGCTTATTAATCATTTGCTTTGTTTCCAAGCACCTCATTTCGATTTTTATAGACATTTCTAAGCAACATGTTAATTATGGAGAAAATTTTCTTATATTTAACTTTCAATGATTAATTTGATTGATAGTTTTCAATATTTTAGGCTACGTGTAATAACATGGATAATGGAAGTATATTGCATTTTTCCAAGAAAAAACGACAAAGTTTGAACTACGTTGCTCAAAAAGTTCATTTTCCTTGTACTTATTTATATACATAGGTTATTTAATGTTATAACATTTAAGAGAGAGATAATACATCAAGTTTTTTCAGATCTCAAATAAATATGTCAGGCGACAAATTATTGTTGGAGCTTTTACCATTGATGAGATGAAAAACGAAATAAAATTTAGTGATAAAGCAGTGGACTTTGACCAACAAAAACATAACCATAGTAAATTAATTTTTGATTCAAGAAATTCAAAAATAAGTATCACTGAAATGAAGTTTTTGGTGTACTGAGCTACGAAGAAAAAAGCTTTAAAAACCAAATTCTAAATTCTTGCTGAAATTAATATTTAAATTAACTTAATATTAATTTCGCAGAATATGAAAACTTTTCAATTTAAACTGAATTGTTTCAGATAAGAGGGCTTTCCAACTTCCGGAAAACAAGCATTTATGTTCTTGCAGTATTGCTTTTTACATTCTAATTGCAGCGGCTGTTATACTTTTAGCAATGCAAATTTTTTTGCTTTGCAAGTGTTTGCGATTTAGAAGTCGGAAATCCGTACCTTCTGGTAAATTACTCTTGTCACATGCATGCATAAGTGTCTTGAGGAGCATTAATTTAATCTCAGAGTAATTTCACAGAATCTTTATTGACTATAACGATTTTCTTACTCTTTAACTATTTTTATAATAAAATGAAAAGTAGCTTGAAAACTGAAACTAATGCTATGATTTTTTGTCAGGCAGTGAAGGTAGCTACAATGACATTTCACCTGCTCACTGTGTTTACTTTGGTCAAGAAGAGTATTCTTGTTCACTAGAGCCTTCCTTGAAGCTTTCTAGAATATCTAAGATATCAAGGTGATTCAGATTATATATATATATAT